GCTAGGTGTCACGCACTGCAGGCCATCCAGCACGACGTCTATTCTTGATACGTCCGAGAGCACCCGTCATCAACCTCAAGTATTCTATTAAGCGTCGCCAGACACGCACACCTGTCAGTCGTGTGCCCAGCGGGTGCCAGCCTTTGGCCGACCAGTATCCCCCGTCATTGTCAGGTACCTGCCGCTGATCCGCTTTGACCAGCTGTCCACCCGGAGCCGGCACATGGTGCTCATAGACGCCCCGCCCGGAGCGCCGATGAACGTCACCGTCCGGCTCGACCCGGTCAGCCTCGGCAAGATCAGGTCAGTGTCCGGCGGCTGGGGTCGACCCGTCTGCCGCCTCAGCCTGCCTCGGGTCAAGCCGTGATGAGGCATAGTGACTCTGTCCTGTTCAGTACATGTTGCCGCCAGTGGCACATTACAGAGGGATCGCAGAAGACTCACATCTGCCGTGTGACGTGTCCGGCAGAGCGTTGCCGTTTTTTGGTACGCGCAGCGGTACAACCTGCTGTTGATGCGAGCTTTAATGTACCCAAATTCCAAATATGTACTCATGGACATGGTGAACTACGTACGTTTGCCGTTTTTTGTCTCTTGGAAAGTAATTGGTATGTAACATACGCGAGAGGGGTGTATTTTCCTATTCGCTTGGGGAGGGGCAGAACCCCTCCCCAAAGTTTGAAAAGAAATTGGGTCAAATCTGGAAGAAATCTGTTTGTTTGCTATTTTGGGATAGGTTGCATCATTTTTGCTTGCTCCCCCGACTCATTTTGCGAAGCAACGCACTGGAATCGGATCTTGAACGTCCACGGAGGTTACACTGTTCAGCAACCTACATGATAATTTAAAACTAGTTTGGCGATTTCAGAGTGTTTATATTCAGCTGGTGACTTTAAATGCACCAGACGGTTGTTGGTCAAGTGGCGTTATACAACAAACTGAACACTCGTGATCATGAGCACAGCTCAAAATGTCGAGCACTGTCAATACAAATGCTACTCTAGAAGGCCGTTTAACCACCCGTATCTTCTGGTGTACTGAAGGCTGGTAACTCATAAGAACTCTAACTCATCTTGCCGTAAACCCGGGAGCTGAAGGACCGTCCTGCGTATCTTAAGAGGGTTGTTCGCTTCTCTGTCTGTCATGCTATCGGTACTTGTTGGCGTGCAGCGGCTGGTCGGCTGCGTGCGTGCTGGAGCGTTTTCGCCTCGCTGGCAGACTGTGGATGCAGTTTGAGCTGGGCATGACATCGATGCGGCAGCTGGGCTTCACCAACAAGGACCTGGACGAGGTGAAGGGAATCTTCACCGACACCAACCTCTACCTGCTGCTCATCACCATGCTGGTTTCGGCCATCCATGTAAGGCTGGTGCCGCCCGGTCAGCGCACTGTGAGGTCGGTGAGCTGCGGTGGAAAGCTCTGGTGATCAACGGCGTCACCAATAAAGGAGAACACTGAGATGTTCCGAAGGCGTTAGAAAAGTTCGATATGGAGTCATTCAATGCTCACAGACTGAATCGTTTAAGTGGAGCATCCACGAGTAGTTAATTCGGTAAATTCGGCAGGAAATGTATGTTTTCCGACTCAGTGCGGAACGAAAGGACGTTTCTGTCGTACCGTACGTGATCCTTTTGGTTCCCGAATGATTGTTTTTGCCTTCAAATGCGTCTTCCATTGACCGGTACTTAGTTACTAAGTAACTAAGTGCTGGTCATTGTAGACCGGCTTAGTCAGAAGCGACGAGAGTTTGCGCCTGCCGGAGCAGATGTTGGACTGCTTTCGTCGCGGTGCTGCATGGTGGGCAGCTGTTTTGTAAAATCTGTCATTTTTAAAATGATGAGCTTTTTGTCCCAGATAGCACTCGTGAAATATTCTTGGCAAACTAAGCAATGTAACCAACGTCTGAGTGAGTTCCCTCTTGAGACCGATTTTGTCACAATTTTATAATCATTACTGCTCGGAATTTATTTGCAATGTTTACATCACTGACATCGGGTTCATGTTACTTTCTAAGCAGGTTATTCCTGTTGACGTGTTAAGGTTATTCCATCCCTAGATCGCTTTTTGTCACAATTTTACCAGCATCGCTTTTTGAAATTTATCTCCAATCATTGCATCGCTGTCTTTGGGTACATGTTATTTGCTGGACAAAGGCTGTTATGTGCACCCTGAATCCAGCTCCCAAGCTGTGCCGCCCAGTTCAATGGATATCCGACCTTGCTTTTTTCGCCAGGCATGACTACATACGTTTTAAATGTCGCACAATGCTGTGGCCACCCTGCGCCCGGGCCGACCCATCTTGACCAGTTAACAACCGACCTGCCATTACCAGTCGGGCCAAACAATGCGTCCACTGCCGGACTGCTGGACACAGCGCCGCTAGATAGCGATTCCAGCTCCTCTCCTCAGACGACAGGGGCGGCAAACCGTGCGCTTTACCTACGGTCGGCTGGCTCCAGCGGGCTGTCCCGGGTGCGTCTGACGCGCGCCCCGCCGACAGCTGCTGTTTGACGTGCTGGCGTTGAAGAATGACGTGCAGTTCTGGCGGCGCCGGAGCTCGTTCGCCGGCCTGTCGACGAAGGCCGTGCTGTGGCGCGCGTTCTCCCAGATCATCATCTTCCTCTACCTGCTGGACGAGGAGACCAGCTACCTGGTCATCGTGCCCATGGCCGCCGGCACCGTCATTGAGGTCAGTTAGGCTGGATGTGCGCACACTTCTGCTCGGTTGGGACCTGGGGAAGGTGCAGTTGGGGAGGTGACCGGGCTTGACGTTTGTGGCGCGATCTCGTCGCATTCCCGGGCTCTCCCAGCGCAGGGGAGCTGCTGTTCACAGGCTGACGTCATGGTTTGCGCTGATGGAAAATTTGTTGGGCTATCGTCCTCACTTGATGTGCTGTTGATTATTCGATGTGTACACTATGTTCGGCCAGGGAACTATCCGGCCGCCATCGGGTGTTATTGAGTCTTGAGAGAGACAGGATAATGTTTGAGCCATGTACATCTCACAACCCGAATTTTCTCATTTTTCAACCGGATTTTATCTACCTTATTGGTAATTTTCGTCTTGCATGCTTTCTGGCCGCGGCGTTGCCGATATAACCGCTTCCCGAACCCCGGGTGCCCCGGTATCGCGACACTTGTCCTTGCTGCAACATCAAACAAATGCAACTCGTTCGCAGATCTGGAAGGTGTTCAAGGCGTTCCACATATCGGTCAGCTGGGGTCTGCCGCCGCGCGTCACGTTCGGCGCGCGCACCTCGGAGGAGCTGCGCACGGCGGCGTTCGACTCGCAGAGCATGACCTACCTGGCTTACCTGCTGTACCCGCTGTGCGCTGGCGGTGCCGTCTACTCGCTGCTCTACACGCCGCACAAGAGGTGAGGCTGGGGCGCTGCCGCCGGCGCCGGCCGGCTGGGGCGGTTTCAACTGCCGACTGTGAGACATCCAGCGACCTCGCTGAGCACCGCAGCAGACGTGCCACCCCGCTCCGGTTCAGCGACCGCTTTGCATTCCTGGCAAATGCACGCCTCCGATTTGCGGTTTCACGTGTTTGTTATCGCCTGTGATGACCTGCCGGCAATGTCTGTCGCCTTACCTCTGTATCCTGATGCCGCTCCCACATGTCGCTGTTCTGTTCGCGGGACGGACAGCGACGGACTGGCCTGGAAAAGGCGCCCCGCAAGCGTGGCTGGCTTCCGCGGCGTCCCACCGGTGCCTGAGGGGCGGAACAGGCGGCCGCAGGGCGACTGCTGCTGTTGCCATACCACTCTCTTGTGTTGGCCGGGCCGGGAGCTGTCAGATCGGGTGTCCAGCCCGCCTGTCTGGGTAGCGTCACCGTGTTCGACATCCCTGACGTCGCCTCCCTGTCGCCAGCTGGTACTCCTGGTGTATCCAGAGCGTGGTGAATGGCGTGTACGCCTTCGGCTTCCTCTTCATGCTGCCCCAGCTGTTCGTCAACTACAAGCTCAAGTCGGTGGCGCACCTGCCGTGGCGCGCGCTCATGTATAAGGTAATGCTGACACCATGTACTGTCACATGTCCCGTTTGAAGTTCATTTGTTCGTCAGACTTTGGATACGTGGATTGCGTATGAGTTATGCCACGACAAAAGAATGGTTCTCACGGTGGCTCGTTTCACCCCTTCCACGCATTCTGCAGTGTTGGTACGCTTGGCATCGAGGATGTGATCCGCACCTGTGGCCGTTAAGACCCATGCTCCGTTCTGGTTTCCCCGTCCGCCTCATGCCATTGCCACCACTCCACCAGGCGTTCAACTACGTTCATCGACGACCTGTTCGCCTTCATCATCACCATGCCGACGGCGCACCGCGTGGCCTGCTTCCGCGACGACCTGGTGTTCCTGGTGTACCTGTACCAGCGCTGGCTGTACCCGGTCGACCAGACGCGCCTGGACGCGGCGGCCAGCTTCGCCGAGACGAGCGAGGTGTCGCAGGACGGTGCGCCGGGCCAGAAAAAGCAGCAGTGAGGCGGCAGCGACAGTGGCTAGCGAGGCTGGCCGGCGTCGCGGCTCGGGGCCGGCCGCGCTGCAGCGCTCGCAGTGCCACCTGGTCCCGGACGGGTCACTGGCGCTCGCTGGTGGAGACGTGCCAGTCGTGGCCTGAGGTCACCGACAACATCGAACAGTCCCTGGCGAGGCTGGCCGGCGTCGCGGCTCGGGGCCGACCCCGCTGCAGCGCTCGCAGCGCCACCTGGTCCCGGACGGGTCACTGGCGCACGCTGGTGGAGACGTGCCAGTCGTGACCTGAGGTCACCGACCACATCCGGACAGTCCCTGGCGGGCGTTGCTTTCCTCAGGGAGGGGAGGACAGCTTGCTGCTGAGTGTGACGACCGACTCGGCCGACCCTCTGATCGGATGCGTACCAGCTGAGAGCTCTGATATGTGCTCCGAGCGCGCTTCTGCCGGCCGCGCGCCCGTCTGATATTCTGAACCGCAGCGAAGCGGCGTGCTGATCCGGGTTCGTCTGATGCTCGAGTCGCAGCGAGGGGCATCTTCATGGCGCCTTTGAACCCCGGCGGCTTGTGCACGTGTCCGGGAGTGGGCGGCGAACTGGCAGGGTAGTGGCGTGACGTACCAAGCCGAGCCTTCGCCCGGCGCGGCGGCGCTGAGCTTCGCCGAATCGGTCTCGTGCTCTTCACCGTGGGTGCACATCGGCCATTGACCCGGTCTCCCCGGACGCCCTGTGGTCAGGGGGGGGGGGGGAGATGAGGGTCATACTCTCCTGCCGAGCAGTGTCGTCCCACAGGCCGCCGGCTGGCTGTCCTCAGCTGGGGGTCCGTCTTTCCACGTTGTAACGGCGCGAGGAGGCTTCAGAGGGCACGGGGGTCCCGGCTGGGGCGGAAAGGTTCTGCGGTAGGCAAAGGGAGGCTCTGTCGCTGTCACCAGCACCGGGGCTCAGCGGTGTCGCGCTGGTCTGCGGACGGCCGCTCCACTCGACGCACTGTTTCTGCGGGAAGACGTGGAGCACTACACCACTGCCATCTGTCGGACTACCGGAGGGTGTAGGGTCAGGATCACGCACAATCTCAGCCTGTGTGGAGGGGCTCGGCGGCCCTGTGCCGTGCGATGGTGGTGGTGGTGGTGGTGGGAGCTGAGCACCGGCAGCCAGGCATGTAGTGCCGGTCTGCTGCGTGCCGGGCGGCGCCAGGCCGCCAGCGGCGCGCGTCTCTGTGAGTCGCTGTGACCTCAGCTGCGATGTTGAGGCCGCGGCCGCCAGCCTGCTCGGCTGTGAGCGAGCGGCCGCGGCTGGTGCTGGCTGGGTCGGCTGTAGGAGGACCGAGCTTTGGTGGGCGTCACTTCAGCCTGGCTGGGTGCTTACCTGGCTTCGTGATGCCAAAGTTCTCGTCTTTTATCACGACTCTCTCTCTCCCTCCCCCTCTCTCTCCCCGCCCTCTCTCTCTCTCCCCGCCCTCTCCCTCTCTCTCTCTCTCTCTCTCCCTCTCCCTCTCCCTCTCCCTCTCCCTCTCCCTCTCTCTCCCTCTCCCTCTCCCTCTCTGTCTCTGTCTCTCTCTTCTTTCACTATACTTCCTTCGCTGTACTCCGTCTTGGCTCAATTCAAACAAAGTCGCTAAACCCTGCTCATGTGTCCGTATCTGATGGTTGTGGGAGAGGTGAATGTAATATTAAAGCTTTCAATTTATTGATGTTCACGTGGGGTGGGTGATGTTTGCGCCTGTGTTGCGTTAGATGGAAGCAAGAGACCAGCGAGTTGTTTTGTTAATTTTCAGTGGGTTGGTAGTGCTCTGTGCTTTGGCAAACTTTGGCTCTGATCTTAAATGCTACCTATCCATTTCTTTGCAATTTATACGCATTCGTGAATCGATCTGCGTGCATGTTCCCAGTGACAACGGTGCGGTAATCCTAACTAGTTTGGAAAGTTCAGTTTTGCAATTTTTCCTTTGCTCCACGCGCATGGGTTGTCTGTTACAGTGGGGCCATTTTGTTACATTAGTTGTTACATTTGTTTCTTGCATGCGGGCTTTCCATGTCGGTAAATCAGTTATGCTACCTCCTGGCCATCTGCAGCCCTCATTGCGCCACGTTTGTGTCCTGTGCCTGGGTGGCAGGCCAGCTGCAGACTATACGCTACCCCTCCCCCCGTGCTCCTCTGTCCATGCGGCGACCCCGCCTGCCCGTCGACGTCGGTGCATTTATTTGTGGATAGTGTGAATGGTCGGGTTTGGGCTCGACGGACCGCGATCGTGTCGGGTGGTTGTGTGACTCGGACAGAGGAGCATCGCTGGTGTGACCCGAACAGGCAGGAACACTGCTGGTGTGACTCGGACAGAGGAGCAGCGCTGCCGTTCCAACTGTGTGCGCTGTACCGGGGGCGATTGTCGGCTGTCCCACGCCAGCCGGGCTTCTTCCATCGCAAACCCGGGGCGGTCACGAATCTGCTCATTGTGCTAATCTGTCGTCACGTTGTTTTGCTAGTGTTTGGCGTTGTTCAATATTAAATAAAAGCGCCATGAAATGTGCGGTAAGTCTTTGATTAGAACAGAACATCTGGGCTCTGGGCACAGAGGCGCACGAATGTCTATGAAGACTGAGGGGCGGCCCTTCTGTGACCCGTTATGGTAGCGTGCGACACGGTACCAGTCAGCGGAACGCACTCGGTCAGTCTCCGTCCCCTGTCGTGCCCGGTGCGGCCGGCACCACTAGTCAGTGCTGGAACGTTCCTTTTTTCGTTTGGTATTACCGTCGTCGGTTTGAAAGAGCGGTCGTGAGAAAGTAGTTGGCTAGTATGAGCCCCGCTTCCTCACTCACCGGTCGGCCGAGGGACCAAAGAGCCGACGTCTATTGTTCTGCCAGCTGCCGTCTGTTCTGGAGTCGGTCTGATGACGTCAGATTGCTGCGGCGCTGGATGGACGAAGCGGATACGGTTGTATGCGAGGTGAGCACACCTGCGTGGCGATGGCGGATGCTTCTGATGTAATGGAGGAATGGCGTCTGGCAGTCGCCACACGATGCTCATGTTTCTGAGATAGTTGGCCCGGGCTGTTGACGGGATCGCCCCGCATCAGCCGGCGTGGTCGAAGGCCAAGCCGACGACGAATTTGCCTACGCGGATATTATTTACAGCAAGTGAACTTGTCAGAGCTAGTTAAAGGTATCCTATGCAAGGGCGTATAAACCATTGACATATGAACATTTTGCTTATGCAGCAACCAAAGGCATATGAACCAAACACATGTTTGCCGGACAAGGGCGATGGCCCATGCTATTTTTCTTCTTGTTTATGCGATTACCGAATGTTGCAAATTAATCAAATCTTGCTTCCGAAGTGGGAAAGTAGAGACCTTGCCACACGGAATTATCCAAACACCATTGCACGCGCGCGAGTGCTGGACTCCCTGCTTTTGTGTTTGCATGAGTCTAAAGAGTTATGACACCAGATGTGGACTCCTAACACGCAGCTCCGTATTGAAAAGCTCCACCCACGGACTTACGCGTAGGGAACGTTTCAAAAAGTGAGTGGCCAAGCTCAGGGTGTACTTCAGGAACTTTTTATGGAAAGCGAGCCTGATGACCGGGAGGGGGGGGGGGGGAGTGGTAGGGATGGAGGTTATTATCGCTCTTTTTCAAATGGCATGGCTGCTATGCTAGATATGCATCTAGAGCTGTTTCTCACTCGTGCACAATCTTGCCTTTTCAACTCATCTGTCATTTTTGCAAATAAGACCATCCAGCTTCCTCAGTTATTCGTCCATTTTAACATTGTAGCTAGGGGAGGCGAAATTCCACGAGCGGGTAGGCATTTTGGGTCATTGAGAAATCGTCTGCCTCCGCAGTGTAGATACCAAATTACGGCCTGGATATAGGCTGGTGAGAATTTTAAAAGTGAATCAATGGCTCTCAGTGCGGCAAATTTTTCATGCGCCTTCATTTCGCTGGCTGCTTTTCAAGAAATAAGACTTGTCGCGGCATTTTAGGCGGAAACAAATTCGGTGGCTTGAAACTGCCAGAAACAATGTCACGAAAGCCATAAAACTGGAGATTCTCTTTTAACAATCGAGCCACATAATAATGCCCATCTGTCATGTGTTACTTATCTGGGTCCTGCTCCTGTCCGCCGTCTGTGGCCACTGCCCGGGCCCGCGTGTCTCCTGCATGACTGACTGCGAACTGATCGTATGGCTGCTTTGTTACATAGTTTTGGATCAACGTTACTTCTACATGGTGTATGGAACATGTGTTGGACATCTGCAACAGTATCTTTTTCAGAATTATCTTTCCTCACATCACACCATCGCAGAAAAATGGCTTCCGGGAAGCTGTCTGCCTTAGATGTGAATTGGCCCAACGGACACTTTATTGCCCATCATGCTTTGCTCAGCCTTGAGCTCCGACTTTGTTTAACATTTTCCTGTGTCGCTTTGTGTGAATAAATAAGTTTCGTTGAGAAATAGGTACTCTGATTTACTGGGAAACGTTGTATCAGGAATGCACGCAAGATGCTGGGAATCCGAGTTGCGCGATAACAGAAGGAGCAGATATTCTGATGGAACAGCAGTGCGCGCTCATACCTCCCGTAGGACTACAGACGGGTGCAAAGTACACCAAAATGAATCCTAGTAAATCCCTGAGCTGTGACCTGTACAGGTCACAGCTCAGGGCTCAGCTGACGGCTCTAAACGCACAGCTGACGGCTTCGGAGGCACAGCTGACGGCTGTAGAGGCACGGCTGACGGCGCCAAAGCCACAGCTGACAGCTCCAGAGGCACAGCTGATGGCGCCAGAGGCACGGCCGCACAAATGCGTTGACATGGCCACCCATGCTGGTGTCGACATGATGACTTATACATAATGCCTTCCGAGGATATATTTAGGCATCAGCCACACAAACCAGACAACCATATCAAGCTCCTGCTCGTGCCAAAGCAAATAATGGTGTTGGACGGCGTGACTCACCCCAACGCAGCCATTCTTGCCAGATTTGCCTCCTCTCCCCCGTCTCAACGCAGCCACATTTGCTGAGCCGAAGATATTCGTGCTTTATTCGCAGAGCGTGTCGTCTGAAGCGCCAGAAGTCCGGCGATGCAGCGGCTGACGGGGTTACAGGC